TTTAAATTGTAGTGACTCCAACCACTGTCAGAGTGGATAGTGTGGCTAAATAATTGAATCCTCTGATGTGATCTTGTCACTTATAATATCTATAGAACTGGTTGATACTGATGGCATTACCTTTGTTTGATGGATAAGACACTGACATGATGTCACATTGTATCAACCATCTCATGACCTCATATTAAGTGATAACCTAATATTATTTAAACTAAGGTTTTGTGAGAGATAAATGATTTCAAGGCTCTTTAAGGTCGTTCTCCTTAATTCAACCAATTAAACCAATAGACACGATCAAATTATTAGTTTGTCTCAAACATTGTGAATTGCGAAACAATTCGTATTTACCTAGTACGAAATTTTTTATAAGAAAAAAAAATGTCAAATTTGTATTTGAATTTTGGAATATGATATAGACCGTTAAATGTAGAAACCAAATATGTGTGGGAAATAGTTTTGTGACCTTAAAACCATATTGTAAAAATCAATGAAATCCCACTGGTTATTTCCTATGAGCAGCTAAGTCAGATTCTGTCACCAGTTCCGTTGCAATAGACACATAATCAGTAGACTCAAGTTCAAATTCTCTCTTGGGCTGAACACCAAAAAGTATCGACCCCTACACATTGGTTGAGTGTGCCACAGACTCAATGGGAAGGCTGATACCGCTGGTCGAGATTTATTCACTAAAGGATGCGACTTTGGAGGAACCTTGGTTAAGGTTTATAGGTGCTTGTGTTCAGCCGGGCCTGGGCCTGATTGACGATTGACGCCAGGATAGCTAATTAAATTGCCATTATGATAGAAAGATGGTAACATAGCCCTGTCACATAGTATCAAACATGGACTATGGTTTCTGTGACAAAATGCATTGTATGTCAGCACTAGCATTTGTAATTTACAGTTAAAAAATAAATGTGGCACGAAAATATATTTAAAAAAAAAAATTACAACCCACATCGTTTTATTTAAATATTTCTATCAATGTTTTGATCGAGATCTGTAACCATTAAAAAACTATGTTCATTTAGTTCCAAATTTAAAATGAAGAATTTGTTAACAATGATAGTAACCACATAAACTGTATGTACTTTTTGGCGGCTAATAGCAACAAAAATAAATGTGACACAGATCAACAGAATGTGAAAAATGTATAAAAAAATGATATAATAATAATCAAAAATAGACAAAAATGTTGACGTTCAAAGGGGATGCTTATTTAGTTTAATTGGGTGTTTGTAATTGAAGATGTGAAAGTTATAACTCCAAGTACATGATCGAGGTATGTAAATTGTCAGTTTCACTGTAATGCGTAGTGATTAAAATTTAAGTTATCTGTTCTTGTTGGATGTATTTCAGTTTTACAACCCTGTTACATTTTATTAAATAACAATTTGTAAATGTTTTGTTGAAAAAGTTGACCTTTTATCGGTAGCATATAGGGATTGTAGCATTAGACTCATGAGCGGTAGATCTGAGTTCAAAACAAGACAAAGCCTTTATGAGAAGGCTATAAATCTGCTGGAGAATTAAATGTGACTTTGGGGGAACCTTGGTTAAGGTCCACAGGTGCTTGTGTTCGAACACGCCTGGTTGACGCCAGGATAGCGCATTAAAATGGCATTATGATAGGAAGATGGTCACCCTGCCTGTTACATACATTTGTAGTCCTAAACTGGATTAGCGCATTAAAATGGCATTATGATAGGAAGATGGTCACCCTGCCTGTTACATACATTTGTAGTCCTAAACTGGATTATTCACACTTGCAATTTGCAGGAGAAACAACAGTGATACTTTAATTCGATGTCGCCTGGCACAAAAAATATTTAAAAAAGAAAAAGAAAGTTGACAAAAGATGAATGATGACTAGCATTAGGTGAGCTATCTGAATTAGTTTTTGTTTTTTTAGCTCTGCTGTCGACTTTGTCTAGCAAAGTTAATCGATTACTGATTGTCTCCTGCGACAACTTTTTACATGCATGACTTCTTTATGAAAAACGATTGTTTTGATACTTGGTTTTTATGTATCTTGGGTAGAGCTCTCTTAGATTTGTTCATTTCATGATGATATCTTCAATTCTCTAATTTTGATGAATTTTTTTGTCATTTTTGGTAAAAAGTGATATATTTAACTTCTTGATGAAAACCACAAGTTTGATTGCTTTGATATTATACATATAGGTACTACAGGTGGACTTCTCTCAGATTTGTTCATTTCATGATATCTTCAATTCTCTAATTTTGATGAATATTTTTGGTAAAAAGTGATATTTTTGTCTGATTGCTTTGATGTTATACAAATAAGTAACTCATGTGGACCTCTCTGAGATTCGTTCATTTTGTGATGATATCTTCAATTCTGCATTGCTTACAAGAGGGACAATCTCAGTCGAGAGGCTGCTTTTTAGTTATGAACCTCAGTTGTATTTATTTTGATCTACTTTTAAATGAAAATGGACAAAGTCATTGTTTCCATGGAAACAAGTAATTGTACCTTTCTTTTTATTTGTTTTTTGTAAGCATAATATCAAGAATTTGCTGCACATGGTAAAACTGTTGTAAAATAATTTTTCGCAAATATCTCAAGTCGACGAAAACTACAAGATTTTGTAGCAGTGAAAATTTCTTTGGGGGTCCTACAACCCGTGTCAGTGACTTTCACAACATTTAGTCTTCTTGAATGCCAAAAAATCCTATGCTATGCAATACAATGTTTATATATTTTAGACTAAGTCTTTTGAATTAAAGAAAAAAAACAAAAGAAAATAAACTTTGTTTAACTGGATGATACAAATCTCATTTACTTTGTAGAAACAAGACTTTCTGAAGTTCTTGTAACTTGAACGGGAGTTTCAGTTTCATGTCTTTCGTCTAGAAAAAAATAAACATTGAATACTGTATGAATGGAATCTGTTCTACCTCAATTGTTTTGTTAAATACTTTTGTATATCTAGAAAATAGTTGTACAAATGGTGTTTAAAAATGTTTAATATTGTTGTGAAACAAGTAACTATAACAGAATGTTACTCAATATTATCAGGACCAATCTAGTGTTTTTCTTTGCAAGAAGCACTGACTTCTATTTTTGATCCAAACTGTTGCTCTCAACAAGGGAAGGAAGGGAGGTTTATTTATTGAAATGCTTGGGGCTTTTCCTTTGTACTAACATTTTTTGTATTTTGGTTTGCAGTTTTTTGCCATCAATATTTTTCTTATGAACAAACAGACAGAATATAATATAGTTTGTGAATTGTCAAAAAATTCTAAATTTGATGGAACAAGTATTTTTTTAAATGGTGACATAGCTGACTTTGGCTGTGAAAGTGTTAAGGAATTCTGTTTGAAGACTTTTATGCTTGAATCTTCCAAGCCAGTTGCAGCCACCCCCAATTGCAAAATGGTTCAACCCTTGGGTATGATATTAGTGTTACACCTTATTCTTTCTGAGCAATTGGAAATTAAATTTAATGCTTTTTTTTTTGTAGCCCATTCTTCTGATATCTTTGACGAAGTGTTAAATTAATTGTTTAAAATTTGTGACGTTCAGTTAATGTCAAACACTGTTAATATTATTTAATATAGTAGATATTGGGTAGCTATCCCCAAGCTAATTTAATTGTACTTGTAAAATCAATGTTTTAACCCCAGGGACCCCCATTCTCTTATCACAGGCTACCGTCAGTCAAGGTTGCTTGCAGTAAGTCAAAATATACACTGGTTGTAATAAGTCTTGGTGTACATGAATGCTTGTGATTGATGTGTTGTTTTTAGAAAGCTGACAATGTCCTTGACTGTCTTGCTGGTTGAATTAGTATTCTCTGAGGATAAAATTCCTATGTTCAAATATCTGAGTTCAAAAGTACATCACAGTATTCTTAAAACTGATGCTGTATTTACTGCCAGTTAAATACTGCATCTCATCCTGTTAACAACATATAGCTGCTGTGGGTTATTTTCTTTTTGGTTCCTTCCACAAATACCAAACCCAAATGTACTGTATGAGAAAAGGTGGCTATGCTAGATTTGAGATCATAGGTAAATCATTAGAGGGCGGTGGTCGTCGTGCCGTGTCCTGTTCGATATGGGACTCATAGCGATGTATACAACGCGTGTAAAATACATTGTTTATTTACATGAAATTCAAACATTTTAAGTAATATGAATATCATATTTTTATAAAGAACGGTAAATAATGTTGGAAACATATACACAAGTCACACATTTAAAAATGGTCTCCCAACAACAAAAAAAGTAGGAATTTATGGCTGTCTTGAATAAATAATGACAAGAAAATTGTTTAAAATAATGGAAAAGTATAAAAAATTTTATGTCCCAATTATGTAAAAATTATAAATGTTTATTGGATGTTTTAATAAAAGAATGTTTGGAATATCATATATCGTGAATCAATCATTGATAATAAACTGTAAAATACTTTATTTTAGCTGGAAGTAATTTTCGCTGAAAAAACATTGCATTTATTTTCACTGATTTTTGGTGATTTGAAGGAAAAACATAATGAAAAAGTTATTTTCACTGATTTATCCTTTCAGCGAAAAATACTGAAAATTAATTTCAAGTGAAAATAAAGTAATTGTCCAAACAAATAAAAAATTAGGATATGTGGCTATGTCGAAATAGATAATGTTAAGAGCATCAATATGAGAGTAAATTGAATACTGTATTTACTCTATTAGAAGCACATCTCAAATAGAAGTGCATGTGAACCAACAGTGGATTGCATACCGAATCATTAAAAAAATTATCATGGAGACAATTAGAGCAAATACTGTATTTAAAAAAAAGTATCCAATGTCCCAACAATTTGCAAATTATGGATACCTTACATGGCTGTCTGGAATTAAATAATATCCGACACAACAGACATAAATTGCATGTCAGGACTGGTATATAACAATTATTTTTATTGAAGGTGAAATCCAGGAATTCCATAAATTATATTGACACAATAAATAATTTTTTTTTTTGATTCATAGAGAGGATTACTCAGGACAGAGGATGAAGATTACTTACTAGAGCCACTGCCAGTACATTTACATACAGTTCATAATGTTAATCAAGAAACAGAGCATCAACCTCATATGTTGTACAAGAGATCTAACTTACATCGAGTTCTCAGAAATACAGAAGAGCATGGAGAGATGTTTCATTCAAATAATTCTCATAAACAACATTACTGTGGCAGAAAAAAAAATGTAAGTATAGTGGTGAGGGTAGGCTAAATATTCCTGTAATTTTTGTTGAAAAAATGCTATATTGGATTTCTTACTGGAAACTGCTAGACTACTTTACGTTTACGTTTGTAGAATGGATCTCTGTCAGATTGATTTTGAGTCATTTCTCTATCACATTTCTTCAATCAGTGTTGATAACTTCAATTTGTCTACCTACTTGTTACCTCAAAAATGCTATATAAAAACTGATTCAATTTGTTCGGTCTATATCAAACAGTGGAGCTGCATCAGCCAACACCCTGCTAGACACCCCCCCCCC